ATAATTTACATATAAAATAAATCATTTAAAATTGAGCCACTTTAATCTATAATAATTTGGTCACTATCCAATAAATTGCAATATCTCTTTACTAAATATTAATTAGTAACTGCAAATGAATATTTTCTTGGGTTAACTTACATTCGCCAGTCAACATTACAGATAGCATCAAGAGTATTATTTAGTATCAGATTTACAAACTGAGAATTGTACTGATTTTCTTCAAGATCTCCTGATTTTAGTATGTTATACGGTGCCTTAAATGCTCTAATGCTAAAAAATGCAAATCAAAAATATTATTATATAATAAATTTAAGAGTATCCGGAAGCCTAAAGGTTGAACATACTATGGTGAAAGAATATTATATATTGTATCCTTTATAACAAGGTCTTCATCACTTTCATTCTCATCTGAAATTACATGAAGATTACGCCAAGATTTCATCCATTCTACTAACGAGCTTTTTGGCTATTCGTCACCAATGAATAATAAAATTAGTCAAAACAGTCAAAACAAAAGCAATCTGCTTTTTTCCTGATCTTGCAACATACCTTGAAAGTATTATTAATTAGCTCTTCCCATTTGTTAGGTAATTTGTATCGGGGATACGTATTTGATATAAAATCTCCCCATACAATTTCAGGAACTTTTTCCGTAAACTTTGAGCCAGGCCGAAAGTCCATTATATCACTGTGACATAAACTAATAAAAGATAATAATTAAGACTATCTTTTTTCCATATCAATCAGAAAAGCAGATAAATGTTTTCGCAATCATTACGATAATCTTCAAAAATTTTCTCTAAATCGACATTGTCTACAATCAGTGTTGTTCTTTCGACTTTTCCGATCATTGATTCTGTTGCATTTTGGGAATCGTCATCCGAATCTGAGTTAATTTAAGCAATTGTGTCAGCAACGTAGTGAATCTGTAGCACAAGCTACTCATTTGCAACATACCACTAGCTATAGCATCATTCTCTTGCTTGTTGAATGGAACGGTTTTGATCTACGCATTCAAAAGTAGTCGTAGGGTTAGAAGCGCTTTTTTGAAAAATGAAATATTAAATTATATTCTGACCTTGTCCGGTGGTGTAGAAGGTGCCTCTTCCTCCAAATTCTCGTTCTTTGCATATAACTCATTCAACAGATCTTTTTCAATCTGCTTGGTAGTTATTTCTCGTAGTAAATAATCTTGGTTTCGGATACCTTTCGTCGCATCCAGAATCTGTCTGGTCTAAAATGAACCTTTCAGTATACTAACATTGAGATCTGGTGTAATAAGGTATCAAGTAAACACAACTAACCCGTTCGATATGAATCTGGTTTTTTAATTCGTTCTTTGCCAGATTAAATCCAAACTTTTTAGGAAGTGTTAAGCCATTAAATTTCGGACATACCATAAAAACAACTTACTTGTTGCAACTGAGCTTCCTCCTCAAGTATCTTGCTATTCATATGAATGGTTTGTCTCTTCGTTTGTAAATCCCAAAAAGAAATTAATGATTGCGATTTTTTATCAAGCTTGTTATAGAAAGAATATTAATAAATCTAAAGAAAACATTTGACCAGCCTGAAACAACGGACAAACATGCAGTCTTTCCCTTGCAATGTAAGGTAGTCCGTTGAAACATTAACAGCCCACTAACATACAGCTCACTGCATGCTCACCAACTGACCGCGATCTTTTCCCACTGCCAACCACAATTGGCAGGGTAGTTGATGACGGAGTGCTAAAGTGTTGCACTGAACACTAACATGCAATTTATTACATGCTCACCAACTGACCGCGGTCTTTTCCCACTGCCAACCGCAATTGACAGGGTAGTTGGTGACAGAACTAATGCAACTCAGGCTGTTTAACAATCAAAAAAAAAATAAATAGCTTGCCTTAAATGAATTAATCAATTTTGTTACTTTTTTCCTGTTCTCGGACGTTTCAGAATAGTACCCTTTGATCGTATCCAATTCGCTTTTGTACTGAGAGTACTCCGTTTTTTTATCTTCTAGAACACCTTTTTGGAATCGAAAATCTAGAAACTTTTTAAGTGAAGGATCGTCTGTACTTTTCCAAAACTCTACATATTCATAGACGACAAGTTACATTATAATTCGTTCTCATAAGAAATCACTACCACAGTTTAACTTACCATGGGTTTTCAGTGCGTTGAGACAATCAGTCGACAAGTGCATTTTGAAATCAAACAAAAAATTACGCGTTCCTAATTATTATATTACGTAATGATGAAATTTTAGTCACGTGTGCCTATCATTTTCCGATTAGTGAAAAATCGACCACTTAGGGCAGAACGCCATTTAATGCGAGTCCCAGCATAAAGTTATTTTTTTGTTCTCTTACGTCTCCGAAAAATATCTATAGCTGTTTTTACCAAGATTATGCTATTAATTAAACGAATTCATTTTTTCATTAGCGGGTGCATGGAGAAGCATATACACATTTTTTTACACGTATATTAACAGCAAGTTAAAGAATAAAGCCTGGTGCGGGCGAACTTTATTAATATATGCCCTCCTTTTTCATTTCATCCAAAGGCATAGTCAGAGTAAAAAATATAATCACGTTAACAGTTTATGGAAGTGCAATTGTTAACTTTTCACCCCGAAGTCAGAGAACAGTAAGTTTCATCCCGGAACGCTGATCAATTTATCTAGCCCAATATACATTATTTAATAAAGCATCAGTGGGGCTGGTACAAGGTGTACATGTATAAAACTTCGAGAATGCGCCATTATATTGACTCAATCTCGAAATTCTGCCATCACATGACCACTGCATTTTATACTTGCGTATTCTTTCTAACATGAGATGTTACATGTCCACACCACAAAAATTTTAACGCGTCTCGACCGAGACTCACCTTTTTTTCATAGAATTATATAGGAAAAAAATCTATCGTGTCTACATTACATCTTCATCGCACTTTCATCATATCTTCATTACACCTATAGAGCAAAGTTAACTCGAATCAGCATTACATCCGAAATTTTGTATGGGATGGAAATAGAAAGGCAAGTGATCATCTATCTGAAAATTAGAATCGTTAATATGCACAGATTGAACGATCCGATTTTGTATAAGTTTCACCTGTATTTAAATCATAATAATAACCTTCATCATCATCGTCAGAAAATCCACAGAACCCATCATCATCTTCCTCTTTGTCGTTATCGAAGAAATCTCCATCCTCACTCTGTGGGTCAGTGTCCCTATCACAAGAATTTTCATCATCAAAAGGATCCGAATTAAAATATAAAGAACTATCGGGTACGCTTACCTCACCTATCTCATCAACATCAGAGGAATTAAAGATATGAGTCGTATTATTAGGTGAGACTTCAGTATTTGAGACACTTACCGAGATATTAGATAAAGATTTGTCATCCTCACTTATTATATCTTCCGAATTAGACGTATGAGACAATTTAGTAGTTGATTTAGAAGGTTCGGTCACGTGCGCGTGAAGATTCTTCACGCCGATTACTTTTTAACATCCAGTTTGCTCGTTGACCAATCCTATATTAGATTTTTCAGAGAAAAGCTTTATTATGTTTTGGATTTGAACACCTGTTAAACTGGAAATAGCATCAGCACTATACGTAACTTGCTTGATTTTATCTATTCCTATTTCTTTGAATAATGTATAAATATTTCTAGCCTTTTGAGTTTTCTTACGCAAATACTCTCTCTTAATTCCTGGAAGAAATGGTTCCATTTTATTATAGATCTGTGTTCTCGCCATTTGATCGTTAAGTTCGTTTTTAAAGCTAATGTCTCTTACCTTTTTTTCGAATTCTTCACTATAATAATACCAACGTAAAATTTCTTTCTGGCCAGTTTTTTTAGCCTTGTCGAATAAATGGACCAAATGTGATGCAGAACCTGAAGTTGAATCATCTCCATCTAGCATGTTTTCAAGAATTTGTCTATCAGGTATGGAATTCAAAAGACTTTTCTCGTTAATAAATATAGATAACTCACATATTAAACCTTGTTCAACCTTTTGATTATAGGGAATTTTTATTTCAGAAGAAATAGCACTTTGTTTCTGATTGAATGAAGAGATAATAGATGATTTAGATTCAGAAGAAGAAAGCTTTGTATTTTGAATATTTAGATCTTTATTAAGTAATGACTTCTCTGCTTCGGATATGGAAACATTCTTATTCGATGATATAGAAATTTTAGGGATAGTATTCTCAGGAGTTGAGAGTAACTCTTGATTCTGAGATTTCTTGATATTTTCGATTATCTCTTTTTTAATTGTTTCTCTATGCTTTGAATCCAGGAATTCATTTTCTTCCTTCTCTTTCAATAATATGGTTTCTGCAAGAGATGTGAAGATTACTGATGAAGCAAAACTTCAAGTCTCCGACTCTTCCTGGTATATATCCAAATTAAATGTGTTAGACTTCACATTATATAAGATTATCTGTTCATAAGTATCGTTAGAATTTAAAGTTTTATCAGTTATATCAGATGATGAATCATTAGGAGTATCGTTAGAATTTAAAGTTTCAGTAGAGATATCGTTAGAATTTCTTATTTCAGTGGAGATATCATAAACTGAAGATTGATTGGTATCTTTGTATGATTTAGATATGCTCATTTCTTCAGATACGATAGTATTCTCACTCTGTGAGTCATTTTGTGATTTCTTCCGTTCCAATTTTGAAACTCTGGATCTAAGCTTGTTGAGCTCAGCATCTCTTAATTTCGCATTCTCTGCACTTTCTTTTGTGGATCGTTCTAATTCTACGATTCTAGTCATAAGCAAATCTTTCTCTCTTCTAAGTTCAGAAATCTTGAAATTCTCCTTTCTAAGCTCAGCAATCTCAGCTATAAGCTTGAAATTCAATTCTCTCAACGAGGAGACAGAGTCTCGAGTTTCCAATTTATCAACTTTGGATTGTTTGTTTGCCATTTTTTATATAAAATATGGATATATTCAATTAGACATAATTGTGCGCGTGAAGATTCTTCATGCTGATGTCAAGAAAATTTTTCGATCATATATACATGTCATCATTATCAATATGTATTGTACATCAGAAAAAATTTTATTAATATATATAAAAATAATACATGTGAAACGGAAACACTGATTATCTGTTTTATATCTTCTCTCAGATTTTCCTGATTTCCCTTAAGCGCTTTTTTCGTAAGATTTATCTGATATTCACTATTGCTTGTACAAAAAATTCCTTCAGAAGTGAACATGATAAAATGCCAATTCGCGCCTAAAATAAATCTGATAATTAGCATAACTACTTTTGATAAAAGAATCCAGCATATATGTGATAATAGAAAATTTCTCACATATCCATTGACACAATCCCATATAGATAGTCATAATCCTCAGTCTTAAATGCTTCGTCCGCAGTTCACTTCTTCTTATTCATGTGGAACGAGCTTTCAAGTTGTTTGATATTCTGTAGGCAACCTATCTTGACGTTTTGTGGTTTTCTCTCGGTAATACACAAAAAATCTTCCATTCTAGTTATTGCGTAATTCACCTGATCAGAGGCTTCTTCATCCAAAATATCCCTCTGCAATTCTATATGAATTTCTTTATCTGTCATCCTCTGTGTGATAGTGATTAATGTGTATAATATTGATGAAATAAATTCACAGTGGGTCGCCTCATTGGTCTCTATCATTGATTTTACATTCATTAGCTATAATAATATTTCATTCACACATTGATTGAGAGCTTTGTTGTTATCATCGATTTTTACGGAATCTATAAACAGAAAAAAATGAATTATTATTTATTTGGAAATTTTTTTGATCGTTCCCCGAGGGAATGGTTTTTGCCAAGAAATTTGCAAGATCACTGATCCTGGAAAAATGTCAAGAAAAAATATCACATACCCAGATTGATACTCGTTATATTCTCTCCATTAACTTTATATTTACGGAGCACATCTTTTAATTCTTCCAGAGTTTTATATTGTCATGATATGACATTTAACAAATAATCTTATTGGATAAGATTTATATTAATTATTATTGGATTATATATTAGTATTTCTATTGGATATTTATTTTTAGATAGTTATTATTTTATTGGACAATTATATGTTAGATATTATTGGTTCTTAAGTTTGTATTAACAACAGCAATGACAGCAACGACAGCAACGATGACAATGATATCAACACTCGTGTTAATACCAGAAACGCTGATAACACTCATGTTTAATTAACTTAACAACAACAACAATAGAACCAGTTATATCGTATAACATGTAATTTATATAAATATACCATGTATCTTAGCTTAGAATAAAAATTAATCAAGCTTGGAAATTAATCAAGTTTGGAAATTAATCAAGTCAGATAATTAGTCAAGTTAAAAAGTTAATACTTGAGAAGTTTCTTGTTTGATAGAAACTTGAATAACTTGTAAAGTTATATTTGTATTGGTTTTTGGTCTTGAAAGATAGATCGCTTATAATAAACCATTGTTATTGAC